TATAGAAAGTGATTGGAGCAATGGACCTTGGAGACTAAAATTGGGCTCACCTTTGAGGTTGGGCTTTGGGGTGTAATAATTAATTGATAATTAATTAATAATTAATATATAATTAATTATCAAAAGATAGCCTTGGGGCTCTTGGGCTCTGAAAATTAAATTCTTTAATAAATTATTTTTAATTAATTTCGAATTTATTTAATTATTTTTTATGAAAAGACTCATCTTTTCAAATGAAGTCTGAGAGCGTATTTGAGAAACAGATGGAGCAACACACCCTTTACATTGAACAGTCGCTTCCCAAAAACATGTCTGTTACGAACAGACATATGCTCACTATAAATACATACATCTACATATCATTTAAATCACTGAAAATCATCAAACCTCATATACCAAGCATACTGAGAGCACCACAAACAAATTCGCCAGAAGTCTAGTTTTCCGGTGCTGGAATTTTAACTTAGATCGTTGAATCCTGGTGAAGTAGACGTCCGTAGAATTACAAGCACTGAGTAGGGACGAAATTTCTATTTCAAGGACATTGCGGTACGCAAGCCTCGATCTTCAAGTTGTTTGTTTTATATTTTTGTTTTGTTCATACTCTGCTAATTTTTATATTCACATTTATTGTTTATTAGCATATATAATTAAATCACAAATTGTTGACTTATATCCAACACTTTGGAGATAAAGAGAATTGCTAGGGTTCTTGGAGATTTTCTACTTTAAGGTGTTTTCAATCATTTTCTTAATAATATTTTCTATGATTTTAATTATGAATATGCATAACTAATTCTTTTTGTTAGGGCGAAGCCTTAAGCCTTAGCATGAATATGTAATTTTTATTTAATTGCTTATGATCGATTGCATGCATACTTTGAATTATTGATTACTGTGATTAAAACTATCTCATTGTTTTAATGCCTGATCACCATTAGAATATTTAGAAAAGTAATTTGATGCAATTTTGGTCGGAAGGTTCCCTGAAATTGAAGCTGGCTTCTTGTGATTAATAATTATAATTTCACTTAGGATGAACACCATGTCTTAAGGGTTGCATGATTTTTCAAAGGGTTTTCATAAAGCATAATGAGTCTTTCATGTTCAGATTTGATCCGAACGTCCTGACGAGTTGCATGTTAGATATACATTCTATGTTGGAGGTTCCAAATAGAATATAAATTAGGAAAATCTAACCTTCAAAGTAGCATGTGTAGATCATAAGTAATTGATAAAAATACATAGGATTGCTAGGTGATGGTGGAGCCCTAATCTTTTATAAATTGGTATTTAAAACTCTTTTCTTTTATCATATTTGTTTAATTAAAATTCGTTTTTAATATTACTCAAGTCTAAAATCTCTTGTATCAATTTTTAATTCTAAGTATTTGATTAGGAATTGTTTCTACGTAAATTATCCAAATAGTTATTGAGAAGAGCGACCTTGCATGAGCATCTATACTAAAACATCCTTGTATTCTTGCAAGTATTTCAAGTGATTTTGACCCTATTTGCATAGACGTTAAAAATCCTATCAAGTACCTTTGAGAAAATCGGGTTCAATAGATTGCATGTCCATTGTTTTCGTGTGCCTTCTAGGAAGACTCTTGTTAGAACTTTCCTTATAATGTATGCCCAATCTAAAGATAGTTTGAAAAAGGAATTGCATGCACACTGAATTTCTCTTACCACCAACACTTGGACAAGCACTTAAAACATCAATTATATGGTCCTCACCGCACACTTTATTGATGATGAATGGAATATGCATAAGATGATCATTAATTTTGGTCTTATTGCTAACCAGTCGGGAGCCACAATAGCTAAGTTAATTGAAACTTGTTTGTTGGAATGAGACATAAATAAAGTACTCACCATCACGGTGGACAATGTTTCCGCAAATAAAGTTGTATTGGATCAACTTAGGTCAACGATGAATAGGTGGGAAAATTCACAAGCTATTTTGCATGGGGAGTATTTACATGTGAGGTGCACTGCTCACATAACCAATTTAATTGTAGGTCAATGGATGAAGAGGCTAACCAATGACCTCTTAGCCATAAGAAATTCTGTGAGATTTGTGAGGAGCTCTCCACAAATGTTAGAGTATTTCAAGCAAGTCGTGCTTATGGAGAAGTTAACATGCAAAACAAGTGTTTGCTTAGACTACCCCACAAGGTGGAATTCCACATTTCATATGTTGAAAGTAGCCATAAAGTTTAAGAAGGCCTTTGCTAGGATGGGAGAAGAAAGTGATACTCCTTTTAGCGTGGTCCAACCCTTCTTTGACCTTTAATAACAACTATTCCTCCCCCATCCTAGCAAAGGCCTTCTTAAACTTTATGGTTACTTCCAACATATGAAATGTGGAATTCCATCTTGTGGGGCAATCCAAGCAAACACTTACTTTGCATGTTAACTTCTCCATAAGCACGGCTTACTTGAAATACTCTAACCTTTGTGGAGAGCTCCTCACAAATCTCACAGAATTTCTTATGGCTAAGAGGCCATTGGTTAGTCTTTTCATCCCTTAACCCACAATTAAATTGGTTATGTGTGAGCGGTACACCTCACATGTAAATATTGCCCATGCAAAATGGCTTATGAATTTTCCCACCTATTCATCGTTAACCTAAGTTGATCCAATGCAACTTTATTTGCAGAAACATTGTCCACCGTGATGGTGAGTACTTTATTTATGCCCTATTCCAACAAACAAGTTTCAATCAACTTAGCTATTGTGGCTCCCGACTGGTTAGCAATAAGACCAAAATTAATGATCCTCTTATGCATATTCCATTCATCATCAATAAAGTGTGCAGTGAGGACCATATAATTGATGTTTTGAGTGCTTATCCAAGTGTCAGTGGTAAGAGAAATTCGGTGTGCATGCAATTTCTTTTTCAAACTATCCTTAGATGGGCATACATCCTAGGGAAAGTTCTAACAATAGTCCTCCTAGAAGGCACACGAAACAATGGACATGCAACACTGCAAAATCTATTGAACCCGATCTTCTCAACGGTACTAAAGGGTGCCTCATCAAGAACAATCATCTCTACACATGCTTCCAAACAATCAGATTGGTTAAACTCCCTATTAACCAAAGTTTTACCCCCTTTCTTATCCTCATAAAGAAGTTTTTTATTTTTCCCCAAGTTGGCTTGATAAAATTTATATTGTCGATTAAGATGTTTTCTCGTTCCGGATGTACCATTAATGCTTGAATCGGCTGCATAGTCACCATCATTTGTATGTTCCATGCAATACACACATTTAGCTTTAAGTCTTACATGTGGAACCATTACCAGTTTATCATTTCCATCTTTTACAACATTCCCTTCTCGATCCCTGAGGCTTACTATGGTCTTAACTTGATAAGGCCTAAAGTGCTCTCAAACCTTACTACGTTTACCTTATAGGAGTTGGAAGACACTTACCTCCTTTTGATCTCCTTCACTTTCAGTCTCACTTTTGCTTCCCCCCGATTCATATTCCAAATCAATTGCATCCTCTACAGAATCTACATGGTTCAAAGCCTGCATCCAATCAATACAAAAATATCAATTGCAATTACAAGTCAATCTAGCATACACAATAACATTCACAGAAGCACTGAATCTGTTGCACAGATTATCCTATATTCACACAACCTGATTAAAGTGTACATAGACTACTTCTCCTATATTCACACAACTTGATTAAAACATTCAAACAGATTATCTATTAATATTGTGCAGATTAGGCATACTACTTCTCATATATTCACACAACCTTATTAAAACATTCAAACATATTATCCATTAAAATTTTGCATATTTAGAAAAGAATAGGAAAATGAGGATTCTAGAAAAGAACAAAAGAAGAAGTGATTATATAATATTAATATATAAATGAAATTAATAATAAAATATTAATAGATACAAATTAAATAATATAATATTTGAATCCTGTTTTTTATTCCGACACTATACCAAATACTTCACTAAATCAGTCCAACTTAGTCCATTCTAAGTTAGTCCAATTTAGTCCCTGAAGCTAGTCTAGTCCGAGATAGTTCGGTATAACAAACGCACCGTAAGTGTATTTGAATATGGTTATTACCCTAAGTAGAATCACTAAGCAAATCGTTTATTATAAGCATTTTAGGTTGGTTGATATTGATTGATAGATATTTTTTTTACAAGAACCGATGGAGGTGTACTCCATTAATCATCACACATAAATATAAGGTTGCTATTGGAGTACATTACTCTAGTGACTAATAAACGATAGACACAACAAAGTGGTACATTGCTTCAGTGACCAACAAACACACAATCGCCACCAGTACTGACTTGCCACAATAAACGACATATGCAACATAGTATACTACCAGCCACATTGGTCATCGCTGAATAGCGATGTCACATAAAGTCATTGCAGTAAAGAGAGGCCACATCAATTCATCGTTGGCAAATTTTATATGCTTAGAGAATTAACTATTTAGTTTGATGTGTTAGTGGAGTCCACTCGACAGCTGATAAATGGGGAAGGCAAATGAGAGAATGTGGAATCCAAGGGAATATATTTGTTCACTGTCTTCAAGTGATGGTGATGCTTATCACCCTATTTATCATTATTGGATGAGCTTATATTTTCGAAATCTATATAGTGGATTACAAATTTCAAAATTTAAACTAATGCAATACTAATAAATAAGTGTTTTTTTGCTCACCACCCTATCATTAGATGCGTTTAAATTTTGAGATTGTAGTCATTTACTAGACAATCTCAAAATTTTAACACACGTAATGATGATAAATAAGATGGTAAACATCATCATCCCTTGAGGACAATGAGCAAAACTATTTTCGATAATAAATAAAATAGTGAACATCATCGCTTCTTAATAATGTCGAAGAAAAATGCATGAAAACAAATCCCAAATGCCACGACAGCTCCAATAAGATGAACTAATTGAATAACAAGATGACTCGATCAGCACTCAAATTCGTCATTCATCAACCTTAAGATTGAGAACGATTAAAAACGCGAATGTCGTGGCCACTAACCGAGTAGGACACAGCACAGCTCGGTCATCACTCGTCAGCCGTCGCTTTCATCTCCCTCATCTGATTTGGCGCGCGCAAGCAATCGCAATGCTCGCTGATCTCACCGCCCCACCCCCACACACAATAAGCAAATTGCTCAATCGATTTCATCGCTTCCTCCACCAGCTAACAACACAAATAAAGAAAAACAAGGCAAATGCTTCGAATCGGCGTCCTCAGATTCGTCGCTCTCCCTCGCTCCTCTTCCTTTTTCTTCAGTACCACTTCTCCCAAATCCCTCAATCCTTGTACAATTCGCACCAAGTTCGCTTCCCATTCCCGAACGATGGCTTATACGACGTCGTCGGGTTCTTCCTCCAAGCTCCTCTTCCGCCAGCTCTTCGAGAAGGAGTCCTCCACCTACACTTACTTGCTCGCCGATGTCTCTCACCCCGACAAACCCGCTCTGGTCACCCTTTTTCTATTAAATGTTTAATTATTTAAGTACTAATTGTGATTTTAATTATGATTAGGATGATGATGATGCAAATTTTGGGTCTTTAATTTGTTGGTTGAATTTGCAGTTGATTGACCCGGTGGACAAAACGGTGGATAGGGATATCTCCCTTGTCAAAGAGTTGGGGCTGAAGTTGATCTACGCCATGAACACTCATGTTCATGCTGATCACGTGACCGGAACCGGTCTCATGAAGGTATCAACTTTCGAGTTTTTTTCTCCGTTTTTTTTTTACTCTTTTTGTTAATGTTGCTGCATTTGTATTATTCATGAATGACGAAATGAGGAATTGCTTTCGAATGATGCTATTTGGGGGAAAAATTGTGTTCTTTGATGGAATTCAATAATAAGGGATTTTACCAAATGTCTGGCATTTTTGTTGGGTTTTGATTGATATGCAAATATTTGTTGTGGCAGACTAAGCTTCCTGGCGTAAAATCTGTCATTTCGAAGGCGAGCAAATCAAAAGCGGACCTTCTTATTGAATCCGGCGATAAAATATATTTTGGCGATCTGTTTTTGGAGGTATGCCAACACTTGGGATTTATTTTCATTGATGTTTTAAGCTTCTTGCACAATGTAACATGCAAATCGGAATGTTCTGATGGTTTCTGGAGGAGTGATATATAAAAAATTAGTGAAAAAGTCGAGTATCATTTGAGGTGTAAGTAGAGTGGGAATAGTTCAAAATGTCTCTTTGCTTCCCCGTGGTTATTACTTAGGAATACCTAACAACTATACTTTAGTGTAGTTTTTCTTCTCTTGAGTTGATGATTCTATTTTCAGTTATTGTGTGAGATCAACTTTTCTATCAATTATCAAATAGATTGATGAACGCTTACTAAGAAGATTGGATTACAATGTGCTAACTGCTATGTGAAGGTAAAAAACTTGATTGATTAATTTGGAGTGTTCGATGTAAACCTGGTAGCAGTTTGGAATCTCATAATGAGGTTTGAATACTGAAGACTCAGCTTTTCTCAAATTAATTGCTTTTAGAAGAAATCCTGCAGTATGTTAGAATAGCACTTCATAAATGTTAAAGTTTCAGTATTGTGCCCAGCAAATGTTAAAGTTTCAGTATTGTGCCCAGCTTATACATACTGGTAGAGGTTGTGATCTACTGCATCCCTCATTCCCTCTTATGGGGAATGTAAAAAACTGACCAAAAGAAATAACCTACTGTAACATATTTTGTCGTCCATGCACCGATTTTGAACTAAGTTTTATGCAGATTCTCTACGCTTGGGTGTCTCTGGCTGCATATGTATGTGTTGTGCATGGGTTTCCATGTAGGGTTGTGTATGCATGCATATGTATTTTATGTTTGTAAGTTGTGGTCTGCTGCATCCAATTAATGGTGTAATGACAAAACAGGCCGGCACAAAGAAACAACCTGCTGGAACATATTTGTCATGTACTTACCGATTATTGACTTGTTACTTTTCTGTGGTTTTGTCTAGTATTTACTGAGTTGCAACTAGTTAGTTTAATTTTTCTTTTGGTGTGTGTGTGTTGCATCCGATTATATTGACATTTTCTTTTGTAAATGTATATTTATGTGTATATTTATTTTCAGGTTAGAGCTACTCCTGGGCATACATTAGGTTGTGTTACGTATGTTACAGGAGATGGGCCTGATCAGCCCCAACCAAGGATGGCTTTTACTGGAGATGCACTACTCATACGTGGATGTGGGAGAACTGATTTTCAGGTATAGACAATAGTGTCATAAACTTATAAAAATCTTTAAGATGTCACTTTTCTGTGACAGTTCTGCTGCTCTTTATCAAATAAAAGGAAAAAGAGAAATGGAAAATGAAAAAATAACGGCAGTGTGACAGTGGAAGTTAACTTGTTTTTTAAAAGGGATTGTCAAGGGCATCTGTCAAGTTTGTTTTTATTTCTCTAATCTGCTTGCAGGGTGGCAGTTCACAACAGCTGTACAAGTCAGTTCATTCACAGGCAAGCACATGACAAGAGAGTATACTGTGGCTTTGAGTACCATGAGAAATGAATGAGGTTGATTCATGACACTATATATTGAGAAAACGCTAATACTTTTGTTCTTACAAATCCAGATTTTTACATTGCCAAAGGATACATATATCTATCCTGCTCATGATTACAAGGGATTCACTGTAAGGAACCATCTATTGTTTATTTCTTCTGTACCAAGTGAACCTACGCAGCTACTTATGGCACATGTTTGCTTGAGATGCAGGTTAGTACCGTGGGGGAGGAGATGCTCTATAATCCTCGGCTCACAAAAGATGAGGTATATAATTGTTTTTCGCCAAAATCTTATGCTCCTTGCAGTTATTAAATTTTGATTTTCGTCAGAAAGATGTAGCTACTGCTATCTGGTTAACGAGCAGATAATGATTTTCCTTTTTACTGTAATGAATTTGATTGTTGATTCATTTTTATTTATCTGCATGTCCTGGGTCAATATTTAGCCAAGATGTCTTAGCATAATATTCACGATGTGAGACATTAATGTGACAGAGCTTCTGCCTAAAAGAAATCACTTGGTTTTACTAAGAATGGTTGATACTAATGTTGCTCAGATATTTGTAAAAGAATTTTGGTAAAATTTATAGGGTAATGAGAAATACTTTTTCTACCGTGTGAAGATTATTTGCTGATTAAGTAGCATCCGGTGTAGGGAAGTTTGCATGTTTTTTACTATATCTTTTTATGTTTGAACTGTTTTGTGCAGGAGGAATTTCAAAGTATCATGGAAAGTAAGTAAACGTATCTAGCATCTAATCTTGTAGCCGTTTACTGAACCGTTTTAGGTTAATTAAGACAAATTTTATGTTTTTTGACAGATCTAAAACTCGCATATCCAAAAATGATTGACATAGCTGTACCTGCAAATATGGTTTGTGGATTGCAAGACTTGTCTGAAAGACCTGCCGAGTCCATGGCCAACTAGATACAGTTGCTGCTATGATTTGTACTTCAGACAAGAACTTCTAAAAGGAGTTGGCGCGTTACCACATAACTCGGGTGAAATATACTAGTAGTGCTGAAAAGGCAGATCTATATCCAATGATACCTCTCGTGTTCGTTTTAAGAGATAATTGTATGAGTTATTTTGTTGTGCAGAAAAATAATAAGAAAACGGAACGAAAACGGAAAAAAAATGTGTGGATGAATGAAAGGGCCAGCTACCTGCGGCTGTTGTATTGGACTTACTACGTTAAACCTCTTGTTTACTATTTTCCATGCAACATCTTCTGCATGACATCTTTGTTGTTGAAGTTCTTTGTGACATCCCACATCGTTCAAGGGAGTGGATCCTGTAAGCTTTGTATGTATATTCTTATCTCTACCTAGTACGAGGTATTCTGGTAGCTTCCTGGCTTCAGGTTCCATTGGAACTCCGAAGTTAAGCGAGTTCGTGCAAGAGCAATCCCATGATGGGTCACCCACTGGGAAGTTCTCGTGTGAGTTCTCAGAAACAAAACCGTGAGGGCGTGGTCGGGGTCCAAAACGGACAATATCGTGCTACGTCGAATCTGGATGTGGTGGGGGCTCGGGTTGGAATGTGATAATTGGGTATCAGAGCCAATTCTTGGTCGGATGTGTGCCGACGAGGACGTCGGGTCCCTAAGGAGGGTGGATTGTGACATCCCACATCGCCAAGGAGAGCGGATCCTGTAAGCTTTATATGTATATTCCCATCTCTACCTAGCACGAGGTTTTTTGGGAGCTCATTGACTTCGGGTTCTATCGGAACTCCGAAATTAAGTGAGTTCGTGCGAGAGCAATCTCATGATGGGTCACCCACTGGGAAATTCTCGTGTGAATTCCTAGAAACAAAACCGTGAGAGCGTGGTCCGGGTCCAAAGCGGACAATATCGAGCTACGACAGAGTTGAATCCGAGGATGCGTTGGAGGCCTAGGCTGGGATGTGACATCTCCCTTTCGGCAGTTTTGAAATCTAAATTTCATTCAAATTTGCTCAGAAACTGAATACTTGGACCTCTCAGAGACCAGAGAACATCCATCCATAATTTCTGTCTTAAAGTATCTTTATCTACCTCAATTACCTTATCCATTTGGAAATTGTTTGGACTTTTGACTTTTTAATCCATGCCTTCATTTAGGCATTTGGATAAGGGATTTCGAAGGCAACTAGAACAAGTTATTGAGAACTGGACAACAAAATGTTAGATATAGGGGATCAGGAATGCTCCCATGAGCATTACAAAGGCATGTGAGAGTGATATGCAAATCTCTACTTTAAATGTGTCATTTGCAAATTCTTCCCACATGTCTTTGTAATACTCATGGCGGGCATTCATATTCCTCTTTATTAAACATTTTGGTTCATTTCGTAATAACTTGGTCTCAATCTCATTAGGACCTTGAAATTCCTTATTCAAACATAGTAAAAGTAGCTTCATTTTTACCCAAGAGCTCATTTCCATCCTTCTAAATGTTTTACGGTAATCATTTTGAACTCATGTTTTAGTCGTATATGCTTCAAATTGGATACTATGGATATTTTTTTGGGAACTTTAACGAAAAGCTCCTGGTACTGTTCACTTTAACGAAAAACCACATTTTTACATTAAAAAGTCAATACGGGTACTATTCACTTTACCCTTTATTTTGTCCTTATCATTAAAACTCAAAGTTTTCAAGCACTTTTCATTAGTTTTCCTTATTTTTTAATGAATTAGATTGGAAATGAGGTTTCTAACTTCACCCCCAAAAAAATTTAAAATCAAATTTTCTTTCTATATTTGGAATATTTCAAAATATTAAAATTTTCCCAACTTTCAAAATCAATTTTATCTTGGAATTCTCAGAACATAACTAAAAAAATCCTACATTTTATAATTTTGGGAATTTTTGAAACTTTTTGTATATGCAAATCAAGGTTTTTTCTTGAGTTTTGATTTTTTATGTGTATTTGTAATATTTGTAAATTCATTTTGTAGTATATTAGTATGTTTTATTTGTACATAACATGGATATATATAATCATATAGAGACACGCATTTTTGTACTCATAATAGTATACTCATTATTTTTAATATATAAGAGTATGGTTACATATCATAAACAATAAATAAAAAATAAGAGAAATAAGAGAAATGCTATAGAGACTCTCAAACGTGAGACTCTCTATGAACTCTCTGCCGCCTAATATTTTTGGCACAATTACCGTGCCAATATTATAAAACATCATGTAAAAACATGAGATGCCGGAGATTCCATAAAGAGTATCACTTTAAGAGAGTGCTTAACATTTCTCTCAAAATAAACAACGAACACGAATGAATATTAATTAGCTCACATTAGGAGTAGAAGAATCAGTATTCACTAGCCACGTGTTTTGTTAGACCAAATCTACATTATTCAAGACATAAATTATGCACATTTTCAGGTAAATATTATAGTTAGGCTGCTAATGTGAATTAAATTAGAGGACTTAAGTGGAAGATATGGTCTAATGACTGAGATGCAAGCAAGTCTAATTAGGACTTGTTCTTGAGGGATTAAAAGACTTAACCCAATTACGTAACTTCACATTTTCAAAGGGGGAGAAAATAATGGGAAATTACAAAAGAACAAGAATCTAAGCAAAATAATCTCCAAGGAAAAGAGGAGGAATAATAAAATTATAAGAGTCCAAGTCAAGCAATTCGAAAATGTTGATGAGGTCTAGATTTTCACATCCAGACAATTGAAGGAGAAATTTTTTAGTATACTCACAACACAAGTCGGTACATTATATATCATAATAACATATGATGTACCGTGTTTCTAATAAATATAAAAAGTGAAATGTTAAGAAGACTCTCTTAAAAGTGGGACACCTTGTCGGAGTAGAATTTTCTCCCCTCCTGATCTTTCTCCCTTTCTCTCTTCTCCTATTTAAACGGTTACGATTAAGCGACATCAACATTTTGCTTTAAATTTTTGTATAGAGAAGACAAAAAGGAAAGTGTGAGAGAGGGGGAGGGAAGGAGATGATAATCGGAGAGAAAAAAAAATCCTACTCCCTCTCTGCCACCTCATATTTTATAATATTGACATGAGTATTGACGTTAAATTGTGAGGTATGAGAAAGTTCATGAAGCGTCTCATTTTTTGAGAGAGTCTCCTTAACATTTTTCAAGAAAAAATTTCTCCGATTAAAGGAAAGGATGTGCATGGTGGCATGCATATTTTGATTCACATCCAAATGCTAGAGGACAGATTTTGAGGTTGAGATTCTCGTCAAGTTTCCCAACCTTCAAGATGTTTAATTTACTTGCTCCAAGAAACAAGCACTAGTTGTTATTAGTGGCTCTTAAACTTTGGTTATTGTTAAACTCGAACATGAGGAAAACCAAAAACGTGATTGCGTGTTGGAAATGGGACTGCCGCAACACGCACCTACTTTTGTGTGTCAAACCAAAACTCCTCTCCACATTCCACCAACACATTTCCGTGCATTAAGATAAGCACTTTTTCTAGGGAAAGAAAAATGACATTGCCAAAATAATGCACTTTAACTTTTATACGATATGAGTACATTGTTTAGTAGTTTATTAAAGAATAAAGCAAGGACTGTATCTGACTATTTTGAAGTGCTTAATATAATATCAAATATCCAAAGTATTTCATTTTTTTAGGGATCATTACATCCTTGTTTAAGATAAACAACATCCATTAGGAGCATCTTATTATATCTAAATAGCTAGCTCATAACAAGATAAAGCAAATCTCGCAAGCACATTCATTGCATGGTAACAAATGTGGTCTATATTGTTACTCACTGCTATTAAAATGACTCAAAAGAGGTCATATTAGACACTCTGATATATTAGGTTGTAAATATTTAACTTACTTATTGTACATTTAAGTATGATTTTACGAATTTTGTAGTCTTGCCTGGTAAAAAAACATATTACTCTCTGAAACACAAAACTAATGACTTTATTATAATTATAGTAAAAGATCATGAAGATGTACATAGAGAATTTCGAAAGAGGAAAAATTATTTTTGATTTTTGATACTAATTACATAATTTTATGTCGATGCTAAATAAGCCTTGAAGTCCAACAAAAGTTAAGAAACTAAAGAGATAAATAAATAAATAAATAAAATCATGGGATGGTTCAGGACGAATTTCAGGTTCGTATTCCACATGCACATCATGAGTTCGAGTCTAGTGCCGATGAATCATACGATGGTGGCCACGTAAAAGCTAAAATGCCTATGTGTGTCTTCTCGGCTAGACCCGGCAGTTTTTGACACGACACGAAAATGACACGAAAATAACGGGTTTTGGGTCAACACGATAACTTATCGGGTTATTATCGGGTGACCCGTTAAGAACCCGTTGATAACGGGTATACACGTGGGTAACCCGTTTCGACCCGTTAAGAAAAAATTTATTTTGATAATTTTAAAGTTTAATTACTAAAAGATTTATTATAAAATACAATAGCCATATTAATATATACAATATATTCTATACTAAATATATAGTTTTGTATTATTATTCTATATAAGTTTAAAAAAAAAAAGTTTTAGTCATTATTTATTTTTATTATGAGAGTTCCTTATTATCATTACTAGGATAAATATTACTTAACATGTTGTTGTCCAAAATTAAAATAAAGTAATATAGTATTTGTATAGGCTAGAACTAAGAAGACATACATACAAGTATGAAAAATGTGAAAGAATATATAAACACTTGTGATTCATCATTATTCCTCCACGAGTAGATAATGGTTGCACTTATATTATCGTTTAGATTTTTAAAATCCTCCAAACCTTCACGAATAATGTTTTTTATTTGAGGGAAAAATTAATAAAATTAATAATAATTATTGTAGAAGTGTATAAAATGTAAAAAAAATATACAATCATTCATAGTGACAAACTTTACAACTTTCATGAAGGGGTCAACTTCGAAATCCAACACTATAATTCATAAACCTTAAATTTATATTTAACCGTCAATTGTCATTTACGCTTTATTCTTCTTACTGAATTTCATTTTTAAAATTTTCTTTTTTGAAAACATGATCATCTGACGGATGTAAGAAGATGAACGGTTCAGATCTTTGATATCACGTTTTGAAATTTACGGTTAACTGAAATATGAGTTGATGTCATATAGTTTGTAGAAACTTTATAAACATCAAGCAATATTTTCACTAACCGTAAAACTCTGAATATAATATCAACGATCCAAACCATTCATCTTCATGCATCCTCTAATAGATCAAGTT